CGCCCGCTCTACAGCCCTTTGCCCACCTGCGGGCAGGAGGTTCCCCTCCTGCCCTTAACCGTACCAAAACTACCTCCGCCCGCTCTACAGCCCTTTGCCCACCTCCAGCGGGGCGCCGGTATCTCACCCGGGCTTCTGCCGGTCCGTGGAGACGTCTCCGTCGGGTCGTCTCCTCTGCCGGGCAACTCGGTGCGTCGAGACTATCTCCCCACGGCAGATTCGAGCACCTCGACCTCAACTAAACAATAACGAAATCTTACGAGAGCCTTGACATAACTGTACGAATCAACCCGAGAGCGTAGCTTCTGAGCAGGGTGGCGACCCGAAGGGAACCAGAAATCGAGAACCTTATCTGTAACGGTAACCGGAGCCGCCTTGCGACCGTGATTCGAAAAATCACATCACAGTACCTATGTCGATGCATTGTAGAATGGGTATGTGCGCGAGAGGTTGTAATCGGGCGAGAGATAGGGTACGCCAGGCTATCATAGTTTATCGAGGTTAACAGGTGCTGAGGGTGCTATCGAGCGTAAGAACCATTGGACATCCTTGAGCCACTACCGGATATGAGCGAGTGTTTTTAACAGAGGTTTTTCTTTAAAAGAGAACTTTGATCTCTTAACGTTCGTCAGGATCGACGAGTCCACTATGTCTTTGGGGAAGCAGTGCAAAGCTAGGCGTAACGAGCGCTCTGAAGCATGGAAAATTGGGACAGCGTGCATTTTTTGTTAAAAGTGACACACTGGCCACTGTGACCGATGGTCGGTGACACGGTGACACGGCAGATCACTTGAGAAAGAGTTTTCGAATGGATGCCGTAATCGGAACGTGAGCGTTGAATTTCAAAGACGAGCCAACGAATGGCTCGCGCAGTCATAGAGTATCTCCTGGTGCCTAGGCGTACCTTATAGGCACTCTAGATCGCCTTAAGAAAATACCATTTTTATAACTTAACTGAGCCTCCTAGTGGCCCCCAGGCAGGAGCTGGCTCGCCAAGATTACGTGCGATATGCGGGAGATTTATCGACATGCCCGGCGCACACCGAGCACACCTATCGCCATATCGCCAACTAAATTCTATCGGTGCGCCGTAACTCCGATTTATTCTTAGCTATACACGAGGCAGCGTGCACATCATGAGGGTTGCGTTTGCGCAGCTTGTCCGATTGTGAGATTTTACTTCACGACGAGAGAATGAGGCGTCGGGACGAAATTGATTTTCGATCGATCCATATCTCTTTATCTTACGTGTCTCCTCACGTAACATAATACATAATACATAATACATATGATACATATCCATAGATTCGCACTATAGGTAGCACAGTATAGTGTATATTCAATAGAAGGTATGCCATGTAAATTTATGCAATACCCTCTTCAGCCCTCGGGCAGTAGAAGCACATTAATTCGAACGTTAACCAGTCCACTTTCTGTCCTACTACCTCTTCTCCTTTGTTCCTCTAGTCGGGCATTCCACTTGACCACTCTCGACCACTCTCGACCACTCTCGACCACTCTCGACCACTCTCGACCGCTCCTAAATGTTGCTAACGTGCCCTTCTCAACTGCACTCGCCCAGCCTACCAATTCAATTTCCCTTGGACCCTGTCAAAGTGCCCGTTATGCACTGTACTATAACAGAGCGTCCTGCCCCGCAATCACATGCTCTGCCTCGTCCATTTTTTCTAATCATTTGACCTTCGGATTTTAACACTTGTTAGTCAAAGCCGACCGTCCTTACGAAGGCTGCGTTATTGGACTTACAGTTATACCCATATAGAGATAATACACAGCATTCGCTTGCATCTAGTAAATGATTTTTTTTCGAAATTTGTTTCAGATGAGAGAGAAACCCAGGAACTTGGCATTTTCTTATTTGGTATTTCTAACGATAGCTACGTCATCTCAGATATCTGCTGCTTCCCATTACAAGGTAAGAGCATGTCTGATGACCTGATGAATCTCCCTATTAACTCTGTGCAATTGCTCTTGAAACGCATGAATTGCGATCAGTTGTGATACGCGTACATACGAGTAGGTATTTTTTCGTGACTTTCGTATACGAAGATTGGAACGGAAAAGAAAGCGAGAGCTTAACTTCTTTCAGTTAAGTGTAACTGTGCGGTTCAATTTTAAGTATAAACTTGGTTCATTGCCCTCTTTTCCAAAAGGCCAAACCGTGTTTGTAGAAAAGGTAAAATGTGAAATTCTTGAGAATATGTATAATGTAAGCAACATGTAAATGTCAAGCAATTCAAAAAAATTGACTCCGATATTAATACTCCATTCTGAATTCGACTAATGGCTCGACTAGTCTCTCCTTTCTTTTTCTTTAATTCCGCTTCACATCATCAGACAGAATACGTGTCGCATATGGCCAAATCAACCAAACCAACCAAACCAACCGAACCAACCGAATCAATCGAATCGAACCAATCAGTCGTTACGATCATTTCACTGAATTCATTAATGTTGGATCTACGAATATTTTCTAGAAATCAGAGCCACTAAAGGAGTTGAATTTTGAATAAACAGTCGCAGATTGAGCCACTGTATCGAAAGATTTTATCAGCCCTAACGTGAATGAGTCTCTATAAGAGCTGACCTTTCAATGGAGTCCTGGAGTCCTATACATCGCCTCGCTTGGAATCTGATGCCTGCTGGCAAATTTAAAGAATTTCGTGAGAAATTACAAACGTACAGAGTTCCCTTTAAACATTTCCGGCCAATCAAGTTTTTCTTAGACCTGACGTAAGTTATAATGTCTTTCGACTGTCTTCTTGAAATGCCGAATGAAAGACTTAACTGACTGGAATTTTTTCGAACGCCCGCCGTATATGGTTCGTTTCTTTCGTTCGCCAGAATCAGACACATTCACGAATAGCGAAAGCCTTTCAGGACATATACGGCAGGATTTCATGGAATCAGCTCCGTCTAATAGGAAAAGTCTAATAGTCGGTCCAACTGCTTGGAAAATTAGTAAAATTCCATCGTATCGCAGGAAGCACTTACATTTCCATAGTTATTGAAGCGAATCGCCGTGGAGCTCTCGATTTAGATCCCTTTGCTACTCTCTCTCTTCTTTGTTCTCCATTTAGCTCGTTCCTTTCTTCTGTCTTCTCTCTTGAACTCGCATTTTTGTATATTTGGATGAGCGCTGTGGAGTAAAAGCCGCCTGTCTGGTGGGTCGACGAGCGGTCGCTGGTCGATCCTCCGTGCACAAAGTATTCTCGTTCCTCTTTAATTAGGCCTGACATAACGTTCGTGGAATCGTACGATGATACATAAGTTTACGATTTTTAAAAGGCGAGACAGGCAGTGGCCTGAAGACTTGCTTAACTGGCCATCCATGATCCGTTCGGTTGTTTGGATCGTCGAACAGGCAACAAAAGGAACTGGATTTCCAAATGGGGAGTGACGAGTGAGAATATTGTACAATAACAATGCAGCACATTAAACTTCAGAATTTAATAGGTACAGGCAAGGTACTTAATCGTAAAGGGATACGTGATTTGAGCTGTCGAATGAGAAAAAAAAAGAAAAGAAAGTAGAGTCAACGAGGAACCTGAAAATCAGGCAGCTCGCAGAAGAAGGCAAAGGGAACGTCGCATGCTACATCGTCGAGTCCGCCTTCATTCATAAAGACGCCACAGTGTTGCTTTCCTTGGCCATTGTCCGGCTGGCCGCCCCACTTGTCGCTCCATTTTGTGTAACCCGTGCGAGCTAAAGACTCGCCGAGGATCGTCACCCATTCGCCTTCCTTGTATAGGTCATGAACGCCAAGATATGCAACATTCGTGTAAGAGGCCCCCTTCACGGGACCCGAGGCATTGAATATTTCCACGAGCACCTGCAAACCACACAGATGCCAACGTCGTCTTGTTAGAGTCGCCCCAGCCTGCGGCTCGTTAAACTGCAGTCGCGTATGCATTTTACGCGATATAATAAAGGAGAAAGAGAGAAGAAGAAGAAGAAAGAGCATCGACTCACGTGTGCCTCGGCCAGGGAATTTACAATGGCGAGATGTCCGCCCTCCTCGTTACACATCTTTCTAGCCTCGTTCCATACGAGTGCTCGGGTGTGCAATTTGTGCGAACCGATCCCAGGCGTGTAGACGTAATCGTCTCTGATGGGTCTTGCGCCAAGATCACAGAAGCAGGGTACACCTCGCACGAGGAGGGCCTTCCGGCTCCAGTGCCAACTCCAGTTCCATCCTGTTGTCATATCGTCTGAATTCGCAGTCGCTGGTGCGGCCTGCGCCGATAACGATGCCGATGCCGATGCCGATGCCGATGACGCTGCTGCCGGTGACGCGGACGGTAGGATCGGCTCGTTCGTAGGGCAAGGACAAAGAATGCTCGAAGCAGGTGTCATACTCGAACGTGCTGGGCCAAGTGCAAGCATCAGTAGCGACGCCGCGATCGGCAGGATTGTGGATCCCGAACGGCACTGCATTTCAACTTTTTTCACGGGATAGAGGATCCTAATATAAAACGCGTCCGTAACCCTCGGGCTACAAGCGGGCACTGACGCGTCGGACGAGTTGTTTCTACAAACTCGGCCAGAGGTCGCAGGACCTAAAACATCCGGAGATAATGCACTATTGTGTCTACTAAGGGTTGCAAAGTTGACCTGGAGGAGGCAACAGCTATGCCAGGGTTGTCCAAAGTAATACTGTCTTATAAGATTTCGTAGCCTCGCAGCGCGTAACTTATTATTCTGCTTTTTCCGACTTCACCGAACAGACGCAACGATATCTGAATGATGTTCGCTCTGGCACCACTGTACCGATTGCGTGGACCATGGATATATAAAAATTTGTGAAAACATGAAAATAATTAAGCAAGTGCGCATACAGGCTCGAAGTTGAAGGGTTAACGGAACAGCAATCGAGAAAAGTCAATAGGTATTTAAATTTCTTAAAGCAGGAGGTTCAGGAGGGATTGAAGGTAGATGATCGTATCATAAATTAATCTATTAGCCATTATCATCTCTTGTTTATATTGCGCACTAAAATACGTCAGTCCAGTCATACAATTATGAGTAGGTCTGTTTATCGAATAATCACGAGAAACTATAGAGATGAGTTTCCGACGGAAACGTTGATAAAGCAGCATGCCGATGATAAGATAATTCAAATCCTTTTTCCGGTGAATTCATTGTAAACGTTTGGTATAGCTACTTTAAGCAGGGATACCTGCGTTACGTAAAGGTCGATACTTTCATCAAGCAGAGCACGATAAATGACGGGAAAAAGGTTTACTTTTTTACTTGCGTTATTGAGCCTCGCCACACGGCAATTTAGCAAATGCACAGAGTTAGTGCATTGTGGCTGCCGAATAAATGTAATTAAATCATTTAATCATCAGAGTACGAAGAAGTGTCAGTGCAGGAGGAAAGTCTTTCGGTAAATGGAGAATCCGAGGGCCAAGAACGATGTCGGTTAGTTCGGTTTTTCGAATAGCGCGAAACTCTCTGTTGCAGCACGCGCGCCGGCATCGTGACTTTGCGACAACGCCCAGCAATTGGGGCGATGCAGCTGCGAACCTCCTTGACGGTCCAAAGGATTTTTCAATTTTTCCGGCGTCCTCCTCGGTATCCTCAACGTCGGTGGCATCCGCATTACCCACGAGATTTCTGGATTCCTCAGCAGCCTCACCTGCGCCACGGCAACCGCATCAACAGTCACGAAATCGAAGTAAGGACCATGTAGACTTTTCTCTCTTGTATCTAGGTTTTCCTTGTCCTTTCCGCCAACTGGAAGCTGTCAGTTGTGTTTAAAAGCGAGGCTCGAGGACTGTGACGCTGACGGCATCGACGAACGCAGAGCCACGAGAAACCAAAGTAATGACACCATCGAAAGAATTACTGTGAGGAGACAAGCTCCGAGCACTTGCACGCCGATGCTGATCTTCATTGGTTTCAAATATCTTTAAAGAAGATCGTACGCAACGAGAATCGTATAAAGTAGAAAGCCCAGTATGCTCAGGAATATCGCAATGATTACGAACGTACACATTGTCATTCGGACCGGATGCAGAAGGAAAGACTGTGCATGCTCTGCCTAGGGTTAGTGCAGGTTGACGGAGCATATGGTTCTTCGCAATTATCGCAACTGCTGAAGTTCACCCGTCCGTTTTATCGTTTTATATCTCTTTTTTATTGGCGAAATTAACTCCAGTTGGTACGTTACTCTCGAATAAACACGACTAAAATGTACTAAAATGTAAAAAGTAAGTAATCACATGGTTCGCAATCGCGTCACTTACAATTCGGTTGAATTATTGCGATCTTGTATTGATTTCATTGCAATCCTACTCCAATCTCAGTACAAATCCCTCCCAGAAGCATCAACTTCAGACGCATTGCGCTTCTGACTTCTCGCGTTCGAAATGTCTCCCGATCGCCGGAATATACCGAAAGAGTCATGAGCGAGCACTGTTCGGCTAGGCTTTCCAGGTTTTTCATTCCTTCATATCCTTGGAAAATTTAAGGAAATAAAATTTTTCCGTTCCGCGGAGTTATCGGACGGCGCTTGAACGGACCTTCCCGATTATTCACGGGGAACGAAGAGAGAGACGAAACGTCTTCGCATCTGGCACACGATCATCCAATTCAATATCCGAGTCGTTTGGATTAGCATAGAGATCGACTCATCTCTCGCGGATATCCTTTCAATTTGATTCTGTCTGCTTTCTGCTGGCTGGCACCTCAACTGTACGCCGTACCAGCTTTGCCGATCCCTTTAAATTGTTTCGTACACGTCTCTCGGTCATGAAAGAGGCAGCCATTCTCGTGGCTCTGGGTGCTGTCCCATCGTCCCTCTTGTTTGCGATCACCGGCCGGCGTCGAACTGAAAGAAACGGTCGAACAACGTCTATACGCAGGGCGTCCAGGAAGATCGAGGAAGATCGAGGAAGATCGAGGAAGATCGAGGAACATTCAGGAACATCCAAGACTCAGCGTCCGCGCTTGAGTAAATAGTCCGAAGGCTGTTTCACGACAAAAGGATCATCTAACTCATCTTTCAGATCCGTGCCTCGAGAAATACTGTGGAGCCGGCCGGGAGTGTCAGCTGTCTCTGAATGGCCACGTGGCCGTATGCATATGTGCGAGGCGATGCGCGAGAAGGCACAGGCCAGTTTGCGGAAGCAACGGAAAAGTTTATGCGAATCATTGCGAACTTCACCGAGCGGCCTGCAATGCTGGCTCTCCTCTCACCGCCAGCCGACTAATGAGGTGTCTACATCGAGGTAGGATCAACGACGTGTCAAGCGTAACGCGACAGACACGAGCGTCCCATCGTATCATTGGGATTCTCATTAATCTCGAGGCGGAACACAAGAATGTCTTTGCACAAGACTTCACAGACCTGCTCTTTTCTTTTCCACAGATGTGCACCAAGAGACGTCAACGGCTTTACCGGCTACTGGCAACGTCCTGGCCTCAACAGCCAGGTCGACATCGATACCAGCTACCAAGGCAGAGACTGATCGTTCGTTCGAAAGAGAGAATCTCGTGGACAAGGAAAGTTACGATCTCAAAGACTGCTCGGCCCAAGAGTACGAGATCATGAAGGTACGAGAGGAGTAGGTAGGTTAGATATCTTTTCAGATTCATCCCCCCGCCATTTTGCATCGTCCTTTACGTTTCAGGATAATCTTCTACTCTATAACCACGCGAGGCTCATGGCGCAGGACAATCATAGTAAGGAATACCTCGTGAGCATTATGTTCTCGCACTACGATCAAAACAATAATGGTAATCTCGAACGAGATGAGCTGGAGCAGGTGAGAGAGAGAGAGAGAGAGAGAGAGAGAGAGAGAGAGAGAGATCGCTCCTCAAACAGAGCGGAGATTCTTCGATCCCGAGCTTATGACTATTTTATTTTTTCCTTGATTCCTCCAGATCGCTGAGCGAGAGGATCTCGAGCAACTCAGCCGAGGATGTTCCCTCGGTCATATGATCAGTTACGACGATGCCGACAAGGACGGTCGGCTCAACATTAACGAGTTTTACATGGCCTTCAGTAAACTGTACAGTGGGTATCGATATTCGCATTTGACGTCTGTCGCCTGCTCTTACGTGTTTGCATTACCGTCCGGCGCAACCACGCCTGACGGACGGGTCTAACAGACCAAATGGATAGTAAATTCCGTAACGCGCATAGTAACTCCCTAGCTAACCCACTCGCACGTAGCGCAAAGGTTTTATGATTTCGATAGTCAATTACTTCGACGCTTGGGTACGAGCGTGGAACACGTGGCGGTCTCATTGAGAAGAATATAACGTACAATTGCAACAAAGTATCGCTTTTCAGGTGTATCGGTCGTATCCTTGGATAAGACTCTGGAAATCAATGAAATATCCGCAAGAGTTGGTGATAACGTTGAGATAAAGTGTGACGTCACGGGAACGCCACCGCCGCCACTCGTTTGGAGACGCAACGACGCCGACCTCGAAGTTCTATCTGAGCCTGAGGTTAGACGAAGACGCTTTGCGCTTATTCATTATTTTATTCTCATTTCCGCAAAACGAGAAATCGCAGTTTCATCTTCGCGTACTCTTTCCCTCTTTTCCTCCCTCCCCGCCTTCCCTCTTTCTCTTTGACACACACACGCGCGCGCGCGCGCACGCACGCACCCACACACACACACACACACACACACACACACACACACACACACACACACACACACACACACACACACACACACACACACACACACACACACACACACACACACACACACACACACACACACACACACACACACACACACACACACACACACACACACACACACACACACACACACACACACACACACACACACACACACACACACACACACACACACACACACACACACACACACACACACACACACACACACACACACACACACACACACACACACACACACACACACACACACACACACACACACACACACACACACACACACACACACACACACACACACACACACACACACACACACACACACACACACACACACACACACACACACACACACACACACACACACACACACACACACACACACACACACACACACACACACACACACACACACACACACACACACACACACACACACACACACACACACACACACACACACACACACACACACACACACACACACACACACACACACACACACACACACACACACACACACACACACACACACACACACACACACACACACACACACACACACACACACACACACACACACACACACACACACACACACACACACACACACACACACACACACACACACACACACACACACACACACACACACACACACACACACACACACACACACACACACACACCCTCTTTTCTTTCCTCTTGCTTCTCAGGTACGCGTTTTCAATGACGGCAGCCTCTATCTCGAACGGGTGCAGCTCATCCACGCGGGCAACTACACCTGTCACGCCCTCAGAAACAAGGATGTCGTCCAGACCCATGTGCTCACCGTTCACAGTAAGAACCCTCTCATCCCTTAAGCTGTCAGCGGCGTGTCGCTTGATTGTACCTAAGGAGAGCAATCTATGTATTTGACGATATGTCGGACGAACGTCAGACGTTAGAGCTCTCCAAGGGAAAAAAAAATTAAAACAAAGAACTCCCAGCCCTGAGCTATTGCAGTGAGCACGTGTGCAATCTATCGGCGCCATCCATACTTTGTCCACGAGCGAAATAACTTTTGGAGGAGCCATCCTGGTATATGACCTTTAAGGCAAAAAAAAGAGTGTTCTCCAGGCAGAATCTTTTACTCGTGGAACGACTGTATACTGTTGATCACACAAGTTTTACTTTTACGTAGGCTACTTCTACACATGCTCACCACGTTAAAACGATATTAGTGCGCACCTATTGAATACAATTCTGTCAATGGTCCAATCAAACTCTTTGTCTACCGGGTGTTAATAACCGTTCGATTCGAATATTATTGTGTGCATGCAAGACGTCAGGGTCGAACCGAACCGAACCGAATGAATTGCCAAATTTTCAGCAATTCCCGAAGTGAGAGTGACTCCGAGACTTCAGTCGAAACGTCCCGGAGAGGAGGCGACGATGTGGTGTCACGTCGTCGGCGAGCCGTTGCCGAGAGTGGAGTGGCTCAAGAACGATGAGCCTTTGCGCGAACAGACGGACGTCGGGAACAAGTACGAAGTCGTTGGAAACGGTACTCGGCTCATCGTCAAGGGTATCGGATACGCCGACACCGGTGCCTACATGTGCCAAGCGACGAGCGTTGGTGGTATCACGCGAGACATCAGTAGCCTTGTCGTGCAGGAGCAACCAACTCCTAGTGAGATCTCATATTTTTTCCTTCCTTTGGCTTCTCTTCCTCTTACTTCTTTAAAATTCAATCGCTGAGTACGGCTGAGCCATTCCCCAAAATCACTCGTAAGAAACTCCAGTTACGTTGCAGTTCCCCGTGGCCGTTAGAATGATATCAACTAAATCCCAATTGCAGTTCTAAACGATCGATTAGATTATGGGGCTCAAGAGCTTTACAAGGGAAATTCTTCATTCGATCCACTGCTGAATTCAAACACATCCTCTCTCTCTCTCCCCCCCCCCCC